AGAGGGAGCTGCAGGAAGGAGAGGCTGAAATAAGTGTAAATGGAGACGTGCAGAGAGTGATTGATGTGATGGAGGTGGTAGCTGGACCTCTGAGAAGGAGCCAAAGGTGTTTTTCCCCCATCATGCATTGAAAGCTGCACGTTCGTATCAGAGTTGCTTATCCAGTTGGTCTGTGACCAGCTGCCCAACAACCTGGTTTTTGTCATCTGGAATGATTTAATTTTATATTACATTTGGTTTTACACTATTTTTACATTTTACTGATTGTATGTATTTTATGTCAATAAAATTGTTTAAATTTTGCTTGCTGTGTTTGTTTTTGCTGAGATTATCAGCTTTTACCTGGAAGATAACTTGAATAATTGTCAGGGAAACATGATGCAGAAAGAAACCTGAAAAATAGTATTATTTCTGCTTTCCATGTGTATTTTCATAGGGGAAAAATTATATACTCTTTTTGTGTGAGCTTGGGCATGAGCAGTTTTGCATAAATGAGAGTGAAAGCTTTGAAATGGAAAAGCAAATGCAAACATTATTTTATTTGGTTGAAATCGTCTCATACCACACCTCCAGTTCTTTTTCTGTTGCCTATATATTTCTTAATTGGCTGTACAGACAGACAGTAGTACTCAAGAACATGTCATTGAATGGTACCTTATAATAAAGCTGAACTGTTAGCACAAGCTTGTACTGCTTATGGAGAGAAGACAACATAGAGTGTAAATGTCATCTTTAATTTCATCACTGATCCCTACAGTCTGTTCTTCTGCAGTGTATAAGATCATAATGTTGCTATTTTATATCAGGTCCATCTGTTCTGCAGACTCAAGCACATGACATCTGTTTACCCTGCATGTGTTATTAAAAACTCATACACAAATATAAACAAATCTACAAATGTGCAGACAGACTAACACTCCAGACATGAATGCAAAGTCACTAAATACATGAACATGCACACATGTCTTATGAACAGACATAAAGGCAAACAGTGCACACCTAGGCAGCTGCAGGGAGGTCATGGTGGTATGGAAAGCAGGTGCTGTGGGATTAAGTGTTCTCCTAGCCTCTGGTTACACATCACAGTGGATATGGGAGAAGTGTGCCTGTGTGTTACAAAGACAGACTAACAGGGGTTTAAGGCAGAAATCAGAAGGTATTTACTGATGGAGAGAGTTTTTCAGAGATGGGCTAGCAGAACGGGACTGAGGGAAGTAAAGGTGTATGTGAGTGCAGTGACTGTATTATGCAGCTGCTTAAGTGTCCATAGGCACAGACAACACTGTCTTATGAATCAAGGCTTAAGGAGGTCATGTTATGTCATTGTCATTATAGTGTGTCTGTGTAAGATAATGTGTGACAACATGCTCTGTGATAATCAACTAATTAGAGAAAGCACAGACACGCCTACATATAGGAGGACACACTGTCATATACGCAGGTTTTTGTATTTGATTCAAGCAACATTTGTGCTGCTAGAAGTGACATGTTTTCAGTTTTCTGTAGTAAACGTGAGGCTTAACTCTCCTCATATCTAAAGTACTTCACTATCCAGCTATTCAATTTCCCCACAGGTGGGGTTGTTGGCTTACAAGCCAGTAAGGACACAGGCCGCTGCGGAGTAAAGGTTACTGCTGGAGTCTTCAGTGTGAACACAGAAAACAAACAACTACATGAACCTGATGCCTTCCAATAAGCACAATAAGTGCAGTCTTATTCCTAACAGTCAGGTAAACCTAGAGCCTTCTCCTTGACCTTGGTTGCTATGGAAACGTAACTGCTCTCTGCTTGGTAACCTCATCTTTTCTAATTGCTGTTGTCTTGGCAACCGTGCAACCAATGCAATCCAGAAAAGGCCACAATCCTAACAGTTTCCTGTTGCAGTGCTCGGCTTCAAGAGCAGCCTCTAAACACACCAGACATATTGACCATTTAGTCATCTGTGAACATACTGTATAAGAGCTGTAGTACAACAAGTTGTGAGCTTTGCATTTTTGCTGTTTGAAGATGCATACAGCAGAGATGACACTGAAATACACACAGATACACTGTATAGTAAGAACATTTATGGATCTGCATTGCAAAAACATTTTAACAATTACAATTAAATGTAACTGAACATCTGAACATGAAATGATTCACAGTGGTCTCAAAGGGACCATCTGATTCCTGAATTTTTCAGGATATTTTCAGGGGATGTTATCTTGTTAGTTCATGGTCAAAGCAGAATAATTGAAGCTGTATATACTCTCTGAGTTTACATGAGCACTTGAAAACCTGGACACACATTACATTACTGTTGCTCCTTTAAGACACTTAAAACAACAGTCCCAGGCTCGCTATCTATCTATCTATCTATCTATCTATCTATCTATCTATCTATCTATCTATATGTA